GTTGTTCCGAGCATCTTCGTCCATTGCTCCAGTTTGATCCACCGGAAATCGCCCGTTTTCCACACGCAAAGATATTTTTAGTATCTTTCTCATAAATTATTGTATATTCATGGTTTAAACATCATCGGATGTATTTTTGAGAATACATAGCCGTAAGGATTATAAAAGACGTAAACGACTAAGAAAGATCTGCTTGGTTAAAGAAATTTCACGTCGGAAGGCCGGGTCCAACTGAATCGTCGCTTTTACGGGCATCTTGCGTTGAAGGGGACACCAAAACCAGTAGAGGACGCGGTACACAACTCGAAAATCGTGATGCGAGACAGAAAAAGTTGTCGGGCTGGTGTGACATCGGATCGTCGCGAAGAAATTTAAGCGCGCGTATTGAAGAAAGAAGAGCAAAATGAATAGTTGCAGAACGCGGGATCAGGATAAAAAAGAAAACGAGATGATGTGAACCATCCAAACCAACTGCTAGGATAACTTACTATATAAGAATTGTATCGAGAGAGAATGCGCGACCAATAAATGAAGAAAAGTTCTATGTTTCTCTCTGAATTTGTTATAGAGATCAAATATTAAACGAATTTCGAACAATTGCGTATTTTAATTGAAATACTTAAGAAACTGTCGTTTCAGGATAAAAAACGATGTTCTCACTGATATTTCATATCTGCTACCGCAAAAGCATTATCTAAGCATAATAAACGCGTCGTAAGTCAGCGACCTATGCCACTCATATTTCAATATTATATATGTATAATCCTTGGAAAAGTACATATGTTTTACACGACTTATCGTCAAATGTGTACGTTGTGTACTTACCAGTTAATCACACTTAAAGATTCACGAACACGTTATTACTGAACGGTAAAGTTTATGTATGTATCTAAGTAAACTTTGAACATGAAAGAATAGCATGATTTATAGAAATGCTTGTAATAAATTGAATTACATTAACTGATAAAAAAAAATGCGCAATCATTGTGACATTTAGCAGATATGAATTAACCGAATCACACATTCGTGGATTTCATAGAGAGGATATGTAATAC